ATATTTATTCACCCAAACCATATTTGGTATCAATGTTATACCTAACACAACCCAGGTTTCTGGCTCCATCTTATGGCCGTTTGGGAAAACACACCCAACTACAGTTTTGCATTTTTTTAAAGATACAGTATTAAAATGTCTATCCTGGTTTACATATTGTCCAACCCAAATAGCTGTTAGGTGACTTACATTCCTAACAGTGGGCCCTCTGTGAATTAAACTTTACTCCAAATCTTATGGGCTTATACATAAAAGAAAAAGGACTTGCAGACTGAAAAACCTATTTCAAAAGCAACTCACAAGCCATACTACTTGTGTTGAAAAGTGATTTAACAGCCATTCTTAAGAAAATCTGGGGAATGGAAGAATCTTAAGTTAGAATGAAAAGCAACCACGTAGCATCCATTACTTACTTCTAATTTCCATAGGTCTCAGGCAAACATGGATGGCAAGAGTAACATATATTACATGTCACATATATTACTGAAGGTCAAGACCATCTCTGTTAAGCTGAGTAAGGTACCTGGTTCAAGCAATTACTTTTATGTCATAAAATGCAACAAATGGGTATTTCATTAGCTGTGTGTTGAACTGCTTATAACAATTTTTGCCAAGTCAATATAATAACATGGGTTCTTATATATTTGATTTAAGGGAGGAGGGCAGCTCCTGGACCATTCTTGGCAATCAAATATCTGCTTGAGTCAGTTCTGTAAATTTGAAGACTAATAGGTGGTAATGTACTTAGTAATAGTAATAATGCCTTGGCAAGCTGTCTTTCTCTTAGAGTTTTATAATAGTCAATTCAAATGGGATGTGTCTTGAAAGACTTGATATGCAAGAAACTGGGCCGCAAGGAAGAACCTGTATATAGGTAGTCCTCAGCTTATAGCCATCATTTAGCAACTGTTTGAAGTTACAACAGCACTGAAAAAAGTGACTTATGACTAGTCCTTGTACTTATGACCATTTCAGCATCACAGGTACTTGGCAACCGGTTATGACATTCTCCGGTTACATGATTGCCATTACAGCTTTCCCAACAATTAAAATCAATGGGTGAAGCTGGATTCATTTAGTGATCAGATTATTCATTAAAAACTGTGTCGAATCTCTTAGCAACCATGGCAAAAAAAGGTCATAAAATCCAGTATGACTTATCTCACAACCACCTTGCTTAGTGACAGAAATTCCAGTCCCAATTATGGTAATAGGTTGAGGACTACCCACATATATTCAGAGGTCCAATCCCAGAGAAGAAATGGTGGGTGCCCTTTCCTCATCTGTTTATTGCCCTGTAAAACTGGTTTTTCTTCTTTTATCCCTTGGGAAATATTTAGTTTCAAGATACTGTAGATATATTTTATGGTATCCTTGTTAACAGGGTTGTTTAATCGGGGGCAAAAGAAATCATGAGTAAGAACTGGATTTAATGGTGCAATGTTCTTGGGGAAAGTATTTCGTATTTTGTCCCTTAAATCATAATTTAAAATTTGCTTTGGAGACAGCCAATAGTCGTTTTGGGTTTTTCAAACTGATGATACAAGACAAACATTATTTTATGTTGCAATATTTCATGTTTTTATATTCTGATGCCTGCTTTTTTTTTTAATGCTGTAACTCAATTTTGTATGAAAATCCTATGCAGAAAAAGTAAATAAATAAATAACCAACCATCACCTTCATTAGCTGCATTTGCTCAACTGATATTTCTGATCAAACAAGTTTTTTGAACAAAACCCTTCAAAATCTATTATCAGCCTTTTATAGGTTGCCTTTGGTGATTTTTTAAAACATTAGTATTTATAATAAGAGAAAGAAGTGAATATATCAGCTATCAGAATCAAGGCTCTATGACCTAAATAACATATATAACATCATGGTGCTTTAAAAGAAGAGAGCTGACAAGTAAATGCCTAGAGTGCTTGTATAAATGGCACATTGTTTATAGTATTGTGAAGCAGAACATTTTTGTGCTATAAAATGCTCCCTTAGAGGCCTAGTTTTCCAAAATTTTGCATTTAAAAGTTCCATCAGCAATGCCTTGACATGTTAGTTAAACATACATGCACTCATTCCAAATATAGACTAGAATAGATAATATTTGGTTGAAAATATTCAGATTTTACATATATAACCTTGAACAAGACTGCATCTAAACTGATGAATCTATCATCTCAGGGGGAAAGTGTATGTGTGTGTGTGTGTGTGTGTGTGTGTGTGTGAGGGGGAGGGGGAGGAAGCAATCAAACCATCTGTATGAAAAGCACTATGTTTCATCTCAAGCACGAATGTGTTACTTTGCTTTGAAATACTAAAACATATCACATATTTTGATTTTGAGTATTCGAAGTTTTTAAATATAATGACAAATAAAGTGATTAAGCCCAAAGGACTGTTTCATGGCTGCATGTTATGAACATTATATAAAATATCACACAATTCCACACGCATCAGTTCAGAAGTCACCCATTGGGGGGGTTTCAGGCATAAGATTGCTACTCTGTGAATGAAAATATGAGCTCAAGATATATTTGAGTCAACATCTAACACATAAATAGGCTTATTTGTGAAGTTATTTACAATTATAAGAGACTAAAGAAAGATTTCAGTTTTTTTTAAAACTGAACTAAAAATATCCAATTGTATCCGGTATATATATTTAGGCAATTCTGAGTTTTAGAAATACAGTGTTAAATAAAATATTCCAAAGAGTGAATACAATTTGTGATATGCAATCTATAATTAAGCACATCCAACTAGATTTGAATGCTGTGGTAAATCAAAGTTAATTAAAACCAAAAGGAACACTTTCCAAACCTCTTCATTACAGTTATGTGGAGGAAAGAAAAGGTACATTATGATGACTCATGGAAAACAATGCCAGTTTAAGAGTATATGGTACTTCTAAACATAATGAGCTGATGACCATGTCAAAATGATTTGCATTTTTAGAATGATTAAGAAGGGGGGGGGCATTAATGCTCCCTAACCTTTGGCGCCCTAGGGTGGTGCCAGCTTGGCATTCACCTAAAGTCAGTGCCCCCTAAGCTTTGGCGCCTAAAATCAGTCAGTGTCTCCTAAGCTTTGATATCAACGGTGGTGCTTGCTTGGCATTCACCTAAAATCAGAGAGGTTATGCTTGTTTCTATTGCTATCACCCATAGCTTATTCTGATATTCAGATCTTAGCACATAAATATTAATATAATCATATTTCTGGTCTGCTTAAAAGAGATTTCTTTTTCAATCAACCCCCATATTTACTGACAGAGAAATCCTTCAGCTGCTTTGTATTAAGATACTTACTTCACAGGAGGAGCCCAAATATCCTGAAGAACACTGGCAAATTTCAACAGCAGATGCATCTTTTTGTCCAGTCAATAAGTCATTAGCAGATTCCAGGCCGACACCACTCAATCTAATATATAAGGATAAAGTAGAGGAAATGCTAATGATCTAGAAAGATAACATTGTATTTATAATATTTGCTATGCTAGACTGGCTGCGAGTGGGGAAGACAGATCATGTGTTTTAATTAAAAGTAAGATGGGTTTTCCAAAAATTGACTGTCTCTTTTGACTTGGTAGAAGTCATGTGTAGACTACAAGTAGTCCTTGACTTATAACAGTTTGCTTAGTGACCGTTTGAAGCTACAATGGCACTGAAAAAAGTGACTAATGACCATTTTTCACACTTACAATCATTGCAGCTTCCCCTTGGTTACGTGATTTACATTTGGATGATTGACAATTGACTCACATTTATGACCATTGCAGTGTCCTGGGGTCATGTGATCTCCTTTTGTGACCTTATGACAAAGTCAGTGAGGGAAATCTGATTCACTTAACAATCATGCTACTAATTTAGCAATGTGATTCACTTAAGAAATGTGGCAAGAAAAGTTGGGCTCTGTTTTGGTGGTAAGTTGGGGACTACCTGTATAGCATAGCAAATCAACGTTAGAACATTGTCGCACAAATGTTATTAGCCATAGGAAGACTGCTTAGTTTATAAATTGCATGTTTATTTATGCTGCAGGCAGACCAAGAATTAGGCTGACTGAGAAACTGTCAAACACATCTTCTTATCCTACTGAAAAGTAATAAAATCTTAAATTAGATTTATAGATTTGACATTACTTCAAAATATGTTTTACTTTGGAAAATGATGTTATAGAAAAAATACTTATTCTAAAGTGAACTGCTTTTCTTTACTAAGATTCTATAGACTAATCAATATAAGGAGAGAGATAAAAAAGCTTTTCTTTCTATTATACAAGACATCTTTCATAGTCTTTTCCCAATACAGCAATAAAGATTTGATAAGCACTGTATGCTGTACCATGAACACATGAAGAAGCTAGACTGTAGACTAGAGAAAATCTATGTGGTTCCTAAGAATCAACAATGACTTCATAGTGCATAATCAATCAATCAATCAATCAATCAACCAACCTATCAACCAATCAATCACTAGGTGAACTTAGGCTACAAGTGGGATGGGGATTAAAAAAATGTGGATTTTTTTACTGTGGATTTTAATGCTGTTATGCCCCCAGAGTTATTGTATGTGAATTGATCAGCTAAATAAATTTGTTCAATAAATAAGCTTATGCAACTCCAGAATGCACAAAAAAGTTGTCCGTTTAGAGTTTGCAAAAAAAAAAAAAAAAAACCACCGGAAGGACTCTCAGACTGTGAGTAACAAGCTCTAAGTGGACTTTCATGTGTTTTGCACTGAGGAGAGACTAGCCACTCTGCCATAAAGTCTAAAAAATAAAAATCTCCCCCAATTTTTCAATTTGACCAGCTGACCAGCTCTTGGAAGAGTTCTGGTTACGCCAAGAACAAAGGAAGTAAATACAGATAAAGGGGGACAGTAAGACAGGGACGGTAGGCACGGTGGTGCGCTTATGCACGCCCCCTTTAAGGACCTCTTAAGAATGAGTGAGATAGCTTTCCCCAGATCTGTGCCTTGCAATAATCCTGTTTGTACTTCATTGAATTAGAAATATTAATCACAATCTAATGAAAATCTGAGCATTCTTCATCACATTCAAATCAGTAATCTTTAACCAGAAGAAGTTAAGCGTTAAGGAAGCAATCCTAGATATGTTTATTTGGAGGTGAATTAGGCTCAGGTACGATTTAATAAGAAAGAACTAAACAAAATTTCTAGGGATATTTACATTAAACGAATTTAGGTGGATATCTAAGAAAGCTAAGAAATATTGGGACCAGATTTGTACTTTAAAATTTCAGGGAAATCTTAAAATAAATGTACAATCGAAACCAGAGGTTTTTCTTCTAGATTTGATGGACAAATAGATTAGGAAAAAAATACAGGACTTTACTTTTATACATGATAACAGCAGCAAGACTTTTATATCACAGAGATGGAAGAATTCATAAAATCCCACAATGGAAGAATAGATGGTGCAGTTAATGGAGAGAGCAAAAAGGAAGAAATTGACTGCTTTGATTAAAAGTAAGAAGTTTATTTGGCTTTCTTTCTACTTGGAAAACACTTTTGAACTTTTCCTTGAAACTGAAAGAAATAAAATTTTAACTTTGGAATTTGATGATTAGAGGTTTTTGGTTTTTTTTGAACAAATTTTATTAATTTTTAAAGACATACAAAACATAAATACACAAAAACACAAAACATAAAAGCATAAAAAATCTCTTTTCTGAAAGTTCCTTAGTCCTGGGTTAAAACTCTTCAAATTCATATTCATTTTACATACCATTCCATATCTTATTAGCATTTTCAATTTTCTATATAACTTCTCCTCTCTTTTAAATTTTCTCAATTTTATTTTATTTATCTCCTCTCAATTCGAATCATAATATTTATTATTCTTTGTCTGTTCTATTTCCAGCTATCCATTTATCTTCTTTTTTAAAAAAAACTTCTCCTGTACACTAATTGGAGTATGATGCCTTTATATCTTTCCCCTATATTTATAATACTTAATATAGAACACATAACTTACATTGGGATTCTGTCTGGTACATTCTAAAATTATACAGTATTATCAAAACCAGTACAAATCTATTCATTGATATTGATATTCATATCTTAAATATTTAGCACATTACTTTTCAGTTAAATCACATACTTTTATGGGAGCACCTATTTTCCATAGTTATTCCCTCCCCACATCACATATTATAGATCATTATTTCATTACGATGTTCCCCCTTCTTCTACTTCAAATCTCTCATTTCTCAAAAAGTCTCACTAGGATAACATAGTCTAATCCTTAATATTAACAATCATTTATATCTTAAACATTTTACCCATTTCAATTAAATATCATGCCTTTGTGGGAACACTTATGCTTTCTAAAATTGTTTCCCCCCCCCCCACATCACATATCTTAAATCATTGTTTCATTACAGTACTCCCCTCTTAACAAAAATTTCACTAGATTATACTAAATATTTTATCACATTTTAAATTACATATTATTTCCAATTTTCTATAGTTATTTCTAAATACAAATATAGAAATGCAATCTTATGTATCTTTCTAGAATCCCTTTTTCAATAAAAATTTATCCATTATCTCTAAAAAAACTTTTGCTTCTTTACATCTTGCTCCCCACCATTAAGGCTTCTCATCCCTTCCTTTCTCCCTTGCTTCTTCTTCTCCTTGTCCTCTTTACCCCCTTGTCTCTCCATCTCCCTTTTATTCTGCTTTCCCCCTTTCTGTTGTTTCCTAACATAATATCCCCTTTTCACCTTATTCTTCTCTTTTTGGGTTGTTTTTCCAGGTCTTAAAGTCTTCTTTTCCTTTTTCTCTTTCTTTTTTCCTTCTCCGACCAAAGTTATTTGTTCATCAAAGATGGCTTCTTCTTTGTCCCCATCATCCTGTTGCTCATTCAGCTTTACATAAGTACAAACCGCCATTTCTAAAAATTGAAAAAGAGTGCCAAGGACATCTTTCCCTTCTTGCTTTTCTTTTTCATATTTTTGATATACAAGTTTCAGTCCATCCACAAGTGATGCCATTATGTAGAGAAAAAGTTTTTCCAAACAACCACCCAAGTGCTTTTAGTCAGAAATAATTCTCAGAAGTTCCAAAATCACCACACAATCCAAACAAGCTGTTCCTTTTAGATACTTTCTCCTTCTTCACTTTCTCTTTCTGGGGTTGAAGTTTGGTCACAAAGTTCCCTTTAAAGTTCCCTTATATATCTTTTAGAAGTCTTATTGATGTTTAGTAACTCTTTAGAATTCTAGGCAATCTTCTCCTTATTTTCAAATTTTGCGCCAATTTTTTTTTCCTCTCCCTTCCCACTCACAGCCAAAAATATTTTTTCCATCCGCTGTCACGTTAGGAAGGAGAGTGAAACGGAAAAAAAAACTTTCCCTTTTAGAATATTCGCAGCTTGTAACTCTCACTGGAAACAATGTATCCTTAGCAGCCTTCAAGCCTCCAGGGCACTTTCTCTTGCCTTGTCCCGGTTGAAAGCAACTTTCGTAATTCTTCCAACTTTCTCCCTCCTACACCTGCTTGTCCGGCTGCAGATTTCTTTGTGGCGGCCATTGCTGACCGCCGCTCCTCCGCCTTGGGAAAAGGGGGTTCTGCCGGCTGGGGACGGGGTCTGTGACACCCCCAAGCCCCTGTCTGGATCCCCCCTGTCTTCAGCTGCCTCTACGGGGCAGCTATATCCCCCAGATCCAAACGGATCGGGGGAACCTTGGCAGCGAACGCAGCAGGGATCGCGCAGTATCGCGAATCCCTGCCGCTGCCGAAACCTTGCAAACCGGAAGCCCACGATTAGAGGTTTTTGTATTACTATAATAGTACTGTGTGTTACGGTTAATCTTAGAGCAAAAACTTGTATCATTTTATACTATCTGTACCAAAGAAAATCAGAAGTTATTCTTTTGTTTATTCTTTTTTTAAAAAAAAAAATCTCTTTTTTCCCTTGCACTTTCAATTTTGCTTTATTCTTGACTCCCCTCCCCTTTTTAAAAAATCTTTTTCCCTATTTCAGAATAACAGAATAACAGAGTTGTGATCGACCTTGTAGGCCTCTTAGTCCAACCCCTGCTCAAACAGGAAACTCTATACTATTTCAGAAAAATGGTTGACTGATCTCTTCGTAAAAACCTCCAGTGTTGTTCACTGGATTTTGCTTTGTTCTGAAACTTAATGTTTTCGGGGGGAAATCATCTTAGACTTATTTTTTATAGATAACAGCTTCCTTGACTATCCTATCAAAATCAAAATTAGGTAATATATCAAGTATATATCCATAAAGGATTTATAGAAAAATAATAAACTAATTTATCTAAATTGGTAAATTCAGTAGAGTTACTATTACTGAAATGTATTTCGTAATTCTACTGTTATTATCCAAGCCTGAACATAAACTTTCTTTGCAGCTTAACCAGTGCCTCTGGG